CAGAATTGCTAGAAGTTCAAGTTCCCATCAGCCTGGAGGACTCTTCCCTTGTGGTCATGTGCTACTCCTGGCTCTTACAACCTTTCTGCTCCCCTTTTCTGCAAAGGTCCCCGAGCCCTAGGTGGGAGAGGTTTAATATGAGTTCTCTCCAGGGACATGGATTGTGTATGCACTTTTTGTATTCCTAAGATAAGTAAATTTTGCTTATTTAAATATGCTGAATAAAAGTTCACTGTCTTAACGTCGAAGCAGTGTTTCTAACTAAATCAGCGTATAAAACAAGAGAGAAAAAATTTACATCAAACACTAATGATAACACATTTTTATAACTGTTAAATCTATGAGTATACCTGTTAAATTATATGTACTACCCCATAATAACCAATATCTATTATTGATCTTTATTAAGCAAAGCAAAAGTGGGCAGCGAACCCACTGACTGTATAAAGGTTGCTCATCCCATGTCTTTGGCTGGTTATGTGTATGAGTATAGAGTCCTCTGCTGCAGCCTTCCATGTCCCATATCCATAAGGAAAGCTGACTTCCACTCCCCTCAGACACCAATTGCCAACAACTCCTCAGATAAGGGTAGGACTTTGTGTTTACTTCCCCTATCATGCTGGTGATTTGTTTGACTTCATGTTGCTCAGGTCTGGTGCCTAGTGTCATAGCTGCTGTGAATTAACATATGCAACTTTCCTGCTGCATCCTGAAAACACTGCTTCCTTGTTATCATCCACCTCCTCTCATGCTTATAAACATTCTCGCCCTCTTTTATGATGATCCCTGAGCCTTGGGAGATGGGGCTGTTATTTAGATATTCCACTTAGGGCAGGCCACTGTGCTCCCCTATTTGTGTCTTGGCTGTGTTTTTGAAGGCAAATCCTCCAAATGTGGCCAAGACCAATGTATCTGTTGTGGATATTTGTTTCTGTTTTAAGACAAATCTCATTATGCATCCCAGGGTGGCATGAAATTCCTGATTCTGACTAAGCTTTCTGAGTCCTGGGATAGCAGGCATGCATACCTGGCCCAATATTAATCTTAATGAGCATGTGCTATGTTTTAGTCTGGATATTTTATTTACTTTATGTATTGTTTAAGTCAATAACTCAATTTAATTTCATATTTATGGTCTTGTATTGTGATCTCATAATTATTCTCTAATTATTTTTAACTTTTTATTTGTATTAGTATCATAATATTACTAGAATTGTAGTAGAGGAGAGGAACTATCTGAAACTCTTTTTTGTTTCCAGAATTGAAAATTCTATTTAATTTAAAATTTGTATATTTTGAAGAATTTATATGAGTACAGCATTTAAATCATTTTCTCCTTCTTCCCTTTTAACACATTCAAGTAACTAGTAACTGAGTGATAAAAATGAAAGTAGGATGTGTAGCCAGCAGCAGCACTAGTAAGCAGAAAAACCAGAAGAGACAAGATAAGGACAATAACAGATCTCTAACCCCTTTGTGAACAACGGGCATAGTGAGAGAGAATTGTACTTCTGTTTTCTGTGGGTCTATGAAAAGTTCATAAGACAATGATGATTATTCAGGAACAATAGCCTGCCTTTTCATAGTCTCCCAAGTCCAATATTCATCACACTATTCCTAGCAAATTCCTTCCAAACTGTGAATGTGTGAAGGTCCTAAGGAAACCAGAAGATTCACGGTCATTCTTGATGATGGATGCAAGGAACAAGGTGCTTAAAGGGATAAGGAGGCCAAACCACCTCACCCTGCCTTCCTTCCAGATCTCTACAGTGCAGAACAGATAACTAAGGTGATATTAGGATCAGGGGAGGAAGGACACTGTGGCCAATGTAACATGGATGGAAAACCTGAGGGAGTAGTGGTAGCATGAGGCAGGAGAAATTTGGATAAGGTCTGTGAAGTGATTCATTAATGAGAAATGTATGAAGAAGGCTAGAGGAAAACAAGTAATTTAGCATGAAGCATAGCCAAATGCTAACCTGCAATGGAGCCCTTACTTAAATTCTCTTCTAAGTGGTACGTAAGGGACCAGCTTCAGGGGCTGTTTGTCACATAGCATTTCCTTACTGCCCACCACTGCGTTACTGGGCTTACTGTCTACCATGAAGCCCAAAGTATCAGGTTATTTTCCCAACGTCAAAAGTGAACTTCATCTCTTTATATGTTAAATGCTTTCCCATAAACCCTTCTGAGACAGATATAATCTGAGCACATCATTGCAATGAAAATAATTATAGTTTATTAGGCAGCAGTCAGATGCCCAACGGTTCTCATCACTTCCCCCACATTCAGGACTTAGTCTCTAAAGGACAGATGACCTTTGTGGGAAGAGAGTTTCAGGAAAGGGAGGTTAGTGATACTTGTGAGCCAGGGCAGTGGCCACACCAGCCACCACCTTCTGGAAAGCAGCCTATGCCGCCGGGGTGAAATCCTTGCCCAGGTGGTGGGCCAGCACAATCACGATCATATTGCCCAGGAGCTGCAAGAAGAGAGAGAAGAGGTGTTACTGTGGGTAGCAGAGCATGGACAGAAGACATCCCAGCCTCATTTCAAGGTGTGGCTATAGTTATACCGTAATGTAAGAAAGGATAGCTGGTGGCTGATTCAGATAAGAATTCTTCTGTCATGTAGAATTTATATGCATTTTTTCCCTATCATCTTAACCCAGACAGTAAATTATCACTATTACCCTGCAGAGCTATACAAAGATAGTGTTTTTTTAATCCTTTTTCTTAAGAGAAATATGTGGAGAATGTGAGAGAAGTTCATTGAATGACAAAGATTATTTCTAAATAACAAAACAATTTAAGTTTACTGGAGGAGAGGGAAAATAACAACAGAATACAAGGATGAAGTAAGAAATAAAACAGGGATTCTGAACAGATAACAGAAAACCACTAAATGTCCCTCAGCGGTTCAAAGTAAAACAGCCAGAAATTTCCATCAAAACAAGTCTCTACCATCTTGTCCCTTGTACTTGTGGTATGAATTTCAGCCTAGACAGCAAGAAGGACATGAGGGGATCAAATGGACTCACCTTGAAGTTCTCAGGATCCACGTGCAATTTGTCACAGTGCAGCTCACTCAGGCTGGAAAAGGTGCCCTTGAGGTTGTCCAGATGCTTCAGGCCTTCACTGAAGGAGTTCAGCACCTTCTTGCCATGAGCCTTCACCTTGGGGTTGCTCATCACAGCAGAGGGAGAGGACAGGTCTCCAAAGCTGTCAAAGAACCTCTGGGTCCAAGGGTAGACCACCAGCAGCCTGAGTAGATGAAAACAGCCAGGGGACATTGAAAGTTAGAGCCTGTTAGAAACAAGAGACTTGTCTCCGGACACCCAGCTCCCATTTGCCTTCTTATCAGTTGCTTTACGTACGGTCTGGATACCAACCTGCCAAGGGCCTCACCACCAATTTCATCCACGTTCACCTTGCCCCACAGGCCGCTGACGGCAGCCTTCTCGGCATTAGTCAGGTGCACCATGGTGTCTGTTCCTGAGGTTGTTAGTCAACACAACTGTGTCAGAAGCAAATGTAAGAGGCATCTGGCCCTGCTCCTCCTTTTATGCCCAACCTTGGCTCCTACCCTCCTTCCCTGTGAGAGCAGATTGGCCAAGGCCAGGATGTGGTTCTGCAAGGTGAGGCTTGAGTGATGACAGCCATACCTGGCCTTGGCAGGCTGGCACTGGCTCAGGAGCCTGGGCTCTGGGACCTTCCTCTACATATCTGCTGCTCTCAGCTCAGCAGCAAAAACTGCCCTGTGAAGTGTCTTCTCTGGAAACTATTTTTGTGAAAATTTTTATTCATCCAGCTACTTGTTCTGTTAGAGACCACGTCTCTGGTTTTCTCATTATACAAATGAGAAATTGGGACACAACATGTAGAAGGTTATTACCCATTTTGACTCAGCATGGAAGGATCTCCTTTCTTTCCCATCCATGATGTCTCCAGAATATGCAAAGTGACTATCAGAACAAGATAATGACTTTCCCATCATGCTTCTGAGTCTATCTTCCTTCAGGTTTGTATCAAAATTCTTGGTAAAATAATAACTTGCCATTCATTTGTTGCTGTCTCTCTCTCTCTTTCTCCCTTCCTTGCTTCCTCTCTTTTCCTTCTCTCTCTCTGTCTCTCTGTCTCTCTGTCTCTCTCTCTGTCTCTCTCTCTCTCCCCTCTGTGTGTGTGTGTGTGTGTGTGTGTATTTATGTTAGGTGTGGACACAAATGTGTGTGCAGGTACATATAAAGATCTGCCTGCCTAGTTAGTAATTGTATGAGTTGTGAGGATCTGAACTATGTTTCTTTGTCTGTGCTGTTAGTGTGCTCTCTCTCTCTCTCTCTCTCTCTCTCTCTCTCTCTCTCTCTCTCACACACACACACACACACACACACACACACACACACACAT